GCGTTCAGCGAGGAGCGCAGCTCTGCCTCACCTTGCCGCTGGGAGCCCGGGCTCCGTCTGCAGCCGCACGCCGCGATCCCAACGCGTCCCCCCTCCCTGGTTCCCTCCTCTTCCTCCTCCCCCTCCCTCCGCCCGCCCTCCCTCCCTCCCTCCCAGCAGCCGCCTCCCCTCCCCCCGCAGGCGCAGCGCTCGGGCGACAGCCGCCGCCTCCAGCTCTCGCAAGTTTGAGCTCCCCCAGTCTCTGCTCTCCCTCCTTTGCGGCGCCTCCGCGGTGGGGTTTCAGGAGGGGTGATTCCCCAGGAAAGGTTTGCCCGAGTTTCCCCGGCCGTCATCGATTCCCAGGCGGGTGCGTCGGGGCCTCTCCACGTCCGTACCCCGGACCACCTGGGTGGCACCCCCGTTGTCCCCTGCCGTCCCCTCCCCAGCTCGGGCCGACTTGGCTGCACACACCCGGCCAGGACGCACGTCCTGGGCGAGCCGGAGACCGACTTGGGCGGCGGCGGAGGCGGCGGCGAGGACGGCCCGCAGAGCCCCGAGCCGAGGGGATGGGGGCTGCGGGGGCAGCTCTCCCAGGAGCGCGCCGAGACTCCCCTTGCTACCCAGAAGGCCAGTGGAGGACCGCAATTACCATAAAGCGCCTCGCACTCCGCTCAGCCAAAGCTGTCAAACCCCAGCCGCCACTGCCGCCTCTCGCCACCAGTGCTGCGCTCTCTCGGCCTCGCGTCCCCTCCGAAACCCAGCAGAGCCTAGCAGTGCGCGTCTGCGCTCACCCCCACCCCAGATCGCCCCTTCTTCCCGAAGGAGCTCCTTCCCATTTTGGTGTCCCGAGCTACCTGAAAACACCACCCGGGGCAACAGTGGCTGTTCCGCCCTAACTCCGCGGCCGAGTTCCCCGGACGTTTCAATTGTGTGGGAATTGTTTAGAGGCGGGGGGGACGGGGAGAGGCGCAGGGAGCAGCTCTTGGGGACACCAGGAGGCGGGGGAGAGATAGGGGAGTGGAGATCCAACAGATTTTTTCCCGTTTTTTCGGCATTTCAAGGTCTGCACCTCAGATGGTTGGAGGGTCTGCCCTGGTCCCTCACCCTGGCTCCGAGAGATTATCTCCCGCGTTTTATTTTCCTTGGCAGGGAGCAACTTTTGGCTTACAGCGTTCGCCCCATAAATTTCCACTCGGTAACGTCGTGCTGATCGGTGCTCGGCGGCGGCGTACAGCCTGCACCCGCAGCAGTTCAATTCAATTGACACGTATTGAGCTTCTCCAGCGCACCCGGCGCGGCGCTGAGCGCGGGTGGGGTG